TATGTCTTATAGGGTTTTTACAGTTATACAATATTGCACTCAGTATAAATTTTAATTTTTAATAATGAAATGGAGATCTTTTTAAAGGTTAAAACATCATTTAATTTATGTCTTATAGGGTTTATACTGAGTACAATATTGTATAACTGTAATAATTCAACTGTAAGCCTAAAAATTTACAGCCAAATTTGAAAGAGATGCATCCTACTTCAGGAAAACGTTATTGAATATGTCAATTGTGTTGTAATGATATGCTTCTTCTAAGTATGTTGTTATTAAATAAATCATTTTTAAAAATTAAAAAAAAGCAAAAAAAAGAGAATATAAATCTAGAGAAAAAAATTGAGAGACAGGTGGCTAAGAAATATTGCTGTCAAATTTGGTGTGGACAAGAATGAGATATTTGGGAGAAGAGTATTTTTTTGTTGTTGTCTTTTTGAGACAGGGTCTCCCTGTAGTCCCAGCTGACCTGAACTCACTATGTAGACCAGGCTGGCCTTGACCTCACAACACAGGGGCACCAACCAAATACAAGGTATTTCTCATCTTTGCTCTTAGAACAACCCCTACCAAGGATCAAGAAAACTTACAAGACTAGAAACGCTTATGGCTCCCGCTGACCCACCAAAGAGGGTCACAGAGTCAGGGTTCCCACCAAAGAACTTGATGTTTTCCTTCACCCACAATAAGGCAGCCAGCTGGTCCTTGAAGGCCCAGTTTCCTGGGGCATACTGGTCCTGTGTGCTAGAGATAAGAAGCAAAGTGAGTCTGTGTCCTGTGGTGCAGGAGTTGTGTCAGAGCTCCTATGGTCAGATAGGTGTCAGCTGGGAGGGTATTGAGAATCAGAGCCCTGGAGTAGCTGGGAAAGCCAGGCTTAGACCTCACTTTCTAGGATTCTCTCAAGAATGATGAAAGTTTGTGACCCAGGGAAATACACATACAATATTGTACATTCAATAATAGGGTGGTCTTGGCTCCCCTCAGTCCATGGATCCCTGAAAAATTCTGCTGCTTAGAGTTGATTTCTTCCAACTGAGTCATGCCTTTCTGGACAAGAGGTTTCTATGAATGAAAATTAACAATAAGAACAGTGTGCACAGCAGCAGTCCTATAACCATCACAACCTGTGAGGCCAGGTGGTTGTGAATTTTATCCCTTTGCCTCTGTTGTTCTTCTCTGTCCTGTTCCCAAAAGGTTTACCTATAGAAACTGCATGGCATGGGCTTCAGCAGCATGTCATCCATGAGAGGCACTGAGGGTGAAGTAGACAGAGGCTGGGATACGCATCCCACTACCCCATTACCACCACCACCCCACGCTGGGCAGAGGTTTGGGCAGTGGTAAAATTTCCCCATGACCACAACTTGTGCTAACTCTTCTCAGTTAAATCTGTGAGTGTACCATCAGGATACTTATGGGTACTGCATCTCCTTCAAACAGACTAGGAAATTCAGCCAGGATGGATTGAATATCCTTGCTAGAAAGATTTAGAAAATTTCAGAGCTGGGATTCAATGAGTTTGGCCCCAGAATTCATGCTCCTGACCATTCCCCATGCAGGTGGCCCAGAGATGCACACTTCTCAGAACTATTGGACAGTTAATTTTTAAAATGTGTGAAAATACCATAGGACCAAAGAGACACATGGACCCAGAACCTTCACGTGGTGTACATCCTGTATGAGTAATCCTTGATCACACCCTATTCCCACCAAACTCTAATTCCCTAGCCTGCTCCTTCTCTTGAGTCCCTTTGTCTGTCTGTTACCCTGGCAGGCTCTGACTATACTTCACATTCTCAGCCCGCTCCAAGCTCTGCCAACTTTACCTTCCCGTGGTGGGTCCCACAATGGTCCACATTCCTCCCTGAATGGTTAAGATCTCAGCCTATAACACAGAATTCATAGCCTAGTCATTCATCATCTGGGTGGCTTTGGGCCAGTCATTTATCCAACATGGCCTCAATGCCTCATGTTGAAAGTGAGGACAACAGTACCAATGCCACAGGACTGCTGGGAAGACAGAAAATACAAGGCACACTGTGGTACATGTATTATCTTTTGTTTTGTGATTCAGTACTCCATAGCCTCAAAGATTCAGTAGCCTCCCCACTGGCCTGCCATTTGCTAATGGGCAACCATGGCCTAGCCTCTACTCTGTTCCATACTGTGCTTCCTGGTACATTGCTCTGAGCAGGATACTTCTGATACCCTCAGTCCTTAAAGAATAAAATCCAAATTCTACGATCATCCTGACTTTCAGTGACTTGCCCAATCAAGTAATTACAAGTCACACCACTGGGCTACATTTCTCTCCCTGTCCCTGATGGGCTATGTGATTGAGATCTGCCCAGTGGTATGTCAGCAGAAGTTATGAGTGCCACCTTCAGGCTGACCCAGGAACACCTCTCCTGTGTGACCCTCATGTTCCTCCATCAATGGCCAGTGCAGGACTGGGGCCCTAGACAATCTACATCAGAGCCACAAGACAGAAGGATCTCAAGGTCCCGAATGGCTAGGCAAAGGATGTCTGTCCATCAGGGACATGCACTGGGATTTACTTGAATGAGCAAGAAATCTTTATTTTTTTTAAACTGCTAAGATTTGAGGATTTTTTGTTAATGCTGATAACTTACCTAACTAATTAAGACCTTTTTTACTCAATGATGTTGAAGATTCATTCCTTCTTAAGCAGCTGATCACTGCCCATAGCTACTGCACAGCTGTACTTCCACAACTGCTTCTTGGGATTCCAAGTGTCAGTCATCTAGGGAGACTCACCTAAAGAAGCCAAATATTCCTAGCCGGTACTGGATGGTCACAACCAACACGTCCTCATAGGCAGCCAGGGCAGACCCATCAAAGATGGAGGCTGAACCGGTCTCGAAGCCACCCCCTGGGATCCACACCATGACCTAGAGGGGGGACAGAAACACTCCAGCCAGGCCCTCCCAGTACTTGTTGTAATAGTCTTTCTAGGGGAAAATATAAATGCCTCAACTTTTCCTTCTAAGTAGGCCCCAAGGACTTGTCTTTTGAAGATGGCCTAGGGCTAAGCATACAGACAGACACTGGCATCTGAAAGGGTATATTTGACTAGCTGAGTCAGCATGGGCAGGCTACTCGACCTCTCTGAAGATGGTTTTCTCCTCACGTAAGGGTTGTGAAGAATGAAAGTATCTCATGTAGGAGGGTTATCATAAGGCACAAATCAGATTCTGCATCTAAAGCTCCTAGAACAGTGTTGGTTCAGTTCAAGTGTTTGGAAAGCATTAACTGGACCCCATTGAGCCTGTGGCCCACAGGAAGACGGAAGCCACTGCACGGAGCACAGAAGAGCCAAGGCTGTGTAGTTAACACCGATTGTCAGCTTGGCAGGATCTAAAGTCACCTAGGAAACAAGCTTGCAGGCACATGTGTGAGGGACTATCCAGACTAGGTTAGCCTCTGGGCATAGTTGTGAGGAACTATGTAGACTAGGTGAACTGAAATGTGAATGTGAGGGGAGCCGTCCTATGGGCTAGAGTCCTAGACTGGATAAAAGGGAGAAGGAGAAGTGAGCACTCGAAATCGCCTCCCTCTGCCTCTTGACTGCAGATCCAATGTGACCAGCTGCCTCCAGATCCTGCTGTTGTGATTTCTCCATCATGATAGACTGTACCCTGGAACTATGAGACCGAATAAGCCCTTTCTCCCTTAAGTTGCTTCTATTATCACAACAGTGGGACAAATAATTAAGCAGCCTAAGACATTTCTTTAAGATTTTTTTCTTCAGTGCAGAAAGAGGAAAAACAAAAAAGAAGTGCAGACACTTTATCTTGATTAGAAAAATGAGGATGAATGAACATAAACATTGTTCAAATGGTATTGTTATTCCTTACATAATTCATAATAAACCACTCCTATTCTTTTAAGTTCCTATAACAGACCATAATCCTTGGGGTAGAAAAAGAGAAGAAAGCCATAGAGGAAAAAGCACTGGCTTTGTGTAACATAGAGCAAGTCATATGTGCACTCCTGCCTCAATTTCCTCATCTGTGAAATGGGTTCAACCATTCTTACACACTAGGTTATTGTGGGAATTAAACAATACAATGTTCAATGCCTGGCATGTAGCAAGTACTCCACAAATGTTTCTGGGAAGATACCACAGGGTGACTCCCATCGCAGAGGCATGTGCAAAGAGGATGCTGCCAAGGTATGGCTAAAATGCATAACAGAGGGGCCGGAGAGATGGCTCAGCGGTTAAGAACACTGGTTGTTCTTGCAGAAGACCCAGGTTCAGATCCCAGCACCCACATGGCAGCTAACAACTGCCTGTAACTCCAGTCCCAGAGAATCTGACATCCACTTCTGACCTCCGCGGGCACTGCATGACACGGGTGCACTTATCGACACACAGGCAATACAGGCATACACATAAAATAAAAATAATAAAATATTTTTAAAAATGTATAACAGAGAAGATGTTCCTTCACACACTCTATAGGACAAATTCTATATGTTCTTAAATGAAGTACTTGACATTATTACTTTACCGCCTCAATTATGTCAGAAAAGTTAAGATACAATTATACTATTTTGCAAAGGAGATCTCGAAACCCCCTGCCCCCCCCCAAAAAAAATCAGAGTTCTTCTAAAGTGTACCTTTTCCGGTATATGGACCATTCAATAATTAACAGGAATAAGGAAAAATAATGAAAAAAAGAAACAAAAATTGAAAGTCAAGTCACTTCCACTGAAAAGCCAAACAGAAAATACGGTAAAGTAAAGCCACCACTATGATTTTTTTAAAGCAAGTTACTTCTGAATGGCATTTCCCTTTTATCCAGTAGGAAGGCAGTTTCAATTCCAGATGCTGAAAGCCCAACTGAATCCCAGACCTGTTAGTAGAACCCCAAATGCAGCAGGCAGCCTTACCGAGAGACTGGAGCCATTATCAGCGTGGGCTGGTGCATAGATGTTGAGGTATAGGCAGTCTTCTGACACTGTGAAATTAGGGTAATGCACCCTGAGCATTTTTTGATACGTGATGAGCCACTCTGTGCTTTGGAAGCACCTTGGAGGGAGAAAGAGAAAAGAATCCAGAATCACTGTCAGCAAACTTGTCTAGGAGGGGCCACTTGCTAGGACAGCAACAAGGCCCAACCATCTCTTCTAAGCAAAGAGAATGTCAGAACTATTAGTATAAAGTCCAGTTATGCCCAATGCCCCTACTTCCCGAAACAAGCAAGTAAACTCATAAACGATTATTCTTTTTGTTTTAGTTCCTGGATAGGAAAGCACATTATGCAAAATAACCGTGCAGTTGCCTCAAAGCACACTCACCTGCCGTTATCCACCAACACTGAGTTGTCTATCAAAGACTTTGTTCCCACACTTCCCTCGTCTGCTGCCAAAGGAATAAAGTGCTATTTCCCTGCCTATGTACCAGGAACCAACTGCATAGACTGTAGGACTCCTGAACCCAGGTTTTGTGCACAGTCCCTCTGCCCGAACTGCCTCTTCCCATGTCCTCTGGCTCGTAGCCTTCCTTTTCTCTCTCCTTGTAGATTCAGTCCAAGTGTCCCTCCTCCAGAAGCCTTCTGAGATGTCTGTGCGACCATAGCTCTTTTTTGGAAACATCCACAGAACATGTGTTCTGCTCTAGAAATTGTCCTGGGTTCGTACATGGTTGTTATCATCTTTTCCAACTCAACTGTGAGCAGCAAAAAAGCCTATGACTCTAGATTAGTCTCCTCTGTACCTCACAGACCCGGGCACAGAGCCTGACACACACAAAGATTGATCTTGTACTGCACTTGATCTTTGCCAAAAGGCTGGGAAGAGATTTAAGTGCTATTGTATGTGTATGGACTTCTGTCATACCCAAGTGCTCGATTGTTGTTAGCTGCCCTCTTGGTAGAACAGTGGACATTAGTGGGCAATGAGAAACCACCATTAAAACTACTTCCTCTCAGGTGTTTATGCTTCCTGGACACTTTCTATGTTATTTATCACAAATTCAGGCCTCACTACTTTCCACAGAGCCATGTCTGACCTTAAAGCTTGGCTAAATGATTCTGTGTGCTCTCTCAAAGGCTTTTCTGACCCATGATGGTTGCCTTGGCACCTTCTATTTTAATTGTCAATTACTGTTTTTCTCTACTCTCCATTACTGTCAGTCCACATGCTCTTGAGGAAAGCTCTGATGACAGCCCCAAGCTTATAATGGTCTCGTTTTTCTCAATAAGGTACAAAAACAATATGCATACCATAGAAACCAAATTTCAAATTCTGAGTTTTAATCTTTTTCTGGGTTAGCTGCATGTGGCCAATACTTGGGATTCTGGATGGTGTAGGAGAGTGGCAAGGCCCAGGCAGCCCCAGTGTCAAGGGAAAATAACCCTGTGTGTGTGGCTGAGAGATAATGTTCAGTAGGGTGGGTATAGTAAAGATATTTTCAACTTAAAATGTCTTGCAAGGACATAGTCCCATTATAAGCTGAGGAATATCTTTAACCCACTGTGAAAATCCCCAAATCCTAATGGCATCCAATTATAGAATTGGTTATGAATGAGTATTAGTTGAATAAACGAGTGAATGAAAACTTGAATAAATATATAAATGAACCAACACATGATTTTTGTCATAATATCCTCAGTCCACACGAGGGCCACATGAGTTCATCTTCCGTGGTATAGAGAATGTCCTGGCACCAAGCTATGTCTTTAGCCTGGGAGCCTAATGTTTCAAAAACCATCTGACCCAACCTAAAGATTTTTCAAAACCTTAAACATCAGATATCCCAGGAGAATCTTCAGGTCTCCCTATCCCACACACAATTCTCTCTCATTCTTCTACAACCAACCTAGTAACTGATTACCCACCCAGCCTTGAAACTGTGCACTGACTGGGAGCTCCTTACTTCCCGAACTCCTGTGTCACAGAGGCTTAATTAATCCGTGATGATTAACCTTCACTGTCAACTTGAGTGAATTTGGAATCAGCTGGGAGATGCACCTCTGGGTGGAAGGCCCACCGTGAATGTGAGTGGCACTAGCCCATGGACTGAAGAAAAAGGATAAAAGGAACCCCAGCACCCCCCACCATCCACTTGATCTGCCCAGATGTGAGGAGTCCAAGATGCATTTTGCCTCATGAATTCTCATGCCTTCCCTAGCATGGATTAAACCATGAACCAAAATAAATCATCCTTCCTTTAAGTTGCTCTCTGTCAGTATTTAGTCACAAAGATTAGAAGAGTAACTAATGCAGCAGCCACACCATCATTCCACAGGCATTTTTGGAGTTCCCACTGTGGACCAGGCCTTGCATTAAGCAAACATGTGACTGTGGGGGCCATCCCTGCCCCCCCATCCGCCATGGTTCTTCTTTCTGAAGCTCTAACCCAGAGAGACCACAAAGAGGAGCCCTGGGTGATGTTCCACAGAAACATCAGGGCAGTCTCTTCTCACTGAAGACGGGGAGACCATTGCATCACTTTCTAAGTCTGCTTAGTGCTCAGAATCCCTACAGAGCTTTCAAATCATTCAGATTCCGGAGTCCAGCTCAGGAGAGTCTGATTCAGGAAGCTCAGAAGGAAGCCAAGGAAGGCACATCTTTTAAACAATGCCTCTAGAGATTCTAGTGTCCAGTCAGTTTAGAAGCCCTGAGATCCTGAAACTGGCCATAGACCAGTGGCCCAGGTCTATGGCCCTCCCACCTCCATATCCATTCTCCCTCAGCTTCGCCCCTAGGCTACATCCCCTACATTCCTCCCATCAACCTGCTCCAAATTCCCAGGGTCCCAGGCCACCCATGGAACAGAGGCTGGTCTTACAACATAGGATAGGTCGTGGCCTCTCGGAGGTCATTCCAGGGCACTGCAGGCTGCGGACTAGCGAATCGCAGCGATCCAAGAGGAGGTGCGGCAAAAGGGATCCCAAGAAACACGTTCACAGGTACGGGGTTTCCCAGCACGGTGACTTGCTTCCCCTGGACCCATCCCAGCCTGGTATACCTCTGTGGTGCTGCAGTCACAGACCCTGAGGAAACACGGGAGGAAAGAGGATCTGGCTGAAGAGCAGTAAGGGAGCCACCAACCTGGAGCTCCCATTGCAGGTGCTCTTTCTCCACTCAGACACCCTCTCTCTGAATCTGTGTCTTCCATTTCTTTCAGGATTGCCTTTATAGTCAACACTAACAGGGCACTGATTCAGTTTTTCCTGAGTCCACCACCAAGCCACAAAACCTGGGCAGAGGTTTCCCTTCTGCTAGACTAAAGCTCTTCCTTTCCATGGAGCTCCGCAGAAGCCAAGACCCTCCCAAACCAACCACCTCCGGCTTCTTAGACCCTTCTCACCACTGCCATACCCACCACTGTATGTCCATCGTTGTCTGTACATTTACTGGAAATTAAATAAACTACTTTTAAATTTTGGCCTGGAAGAAGCCTAAGCAATAATATCTATAGAGTTCTCATTTGAATGAGTTAGTTAGTTGTTTTGGATACACATGAAATGTGCATTAATGAATTAAAAATTCTTGTGTGAATGCCATATGAAATGAGTTCCTCTGCTTCCAAGGGTCTGAAGATGGTGCCTAGAGTGACTAGGTATACAAGCATCTTCGTTTTGGCACTAAAGCTGAAACTTTAAGAAAGCACTCAGTTACTTGCTTAGCAGGACCCAGGAGTCTAAGTACTACTTGCTCTTCTGTCATTTCATTTGTGAAAGTCCTGTCTCTACAGCCAATACCACAGAATACAAACTCCATTCTACATGTGCCCAGTTCCCAGGATGGAGCCTTGGAGTATGTAGTTGACCTGAGGGCACAGTCAGGTCTTTCAGACTCTACCTGTCCCTGAGAAGAAGGTCTTGGTCCAGAACTATCAGCAGCATTGGATATTGGAGCCCTTAGGCTCCACACAGCCCTCCTTGGGCCCTCGGAGCCCTCTGGGAAATGCTTTCATTTCCCCCAGTGGAAAAGCCCACCCCTCTCCCACCCTCTGAGAGCCATCATCTCCCACTGGCCATCTCACCCATGGCTGCAAAAATCCAAACGACCCAGATTAGGACCTGGCCATGGTGCACCCCAACCCCACTCATCTGGCTGGCCAGCCTGAACCGTCAGGGCATCCACAGCTGCTGCAGGTCTCAGAGATCTTCAGGTAGGGCCAGAAAAGGCTCCCTGTTAGTAGACAAGCGCTGAACAGACAGACACAGGTCGCAGAAGAAAGGAAGAGCGGCATCAAATGAAGATTTTCAGAGAATTGGCCAAGCAGGACTTTCCTGTTCTGATTTACATAAGAAGCGGCTGATGATTAACTCTTGTGCTGAGAAACAGCATGTTATAGGCTTTGACCTCATGGGATGGTAGAAGTCAGAAAGACATTCAGGATCAGCTGAGCCAGGGATCTTTGCCTGTGACAAATATCTGACAAACTACTTGAAGAAGGAAAGATTTATTTTGGTTTATGGTTTCAGAGGGTTCAATCCATGGTTGCTTGGGCAGAAAATTATGGGAGCAGAAGTGTGTGGTGGTAGAAAGTTTTCCCATGGCAAGCAGGAAACAGAGAAAGGGAGCTAGAAAGGGACCAGAGACAAGATCTCCCCAAGGATCTGCCCTAATTGACTTAGTTCCTCCAGCTAGGTCTCACTCTCTAGAGCTTCCATAATCTCTCAGAATAGCACCACCATCTGGGAACACATGAGCTTATAGGGGACATTTGATATTCAAACTATAACAGGTGCCTATAGCAGCCACAAAGGCAGCAAGCCACAGTGAATGATGTTGACTAGGAGAGACAATAGACCATGCTAAAGACTACAGAAAACTGGACAGCACATGCTTTTGTCTAAAGTCATAATGGTTTCTCAGTTGCAATACACATCTGTCTTATGAGATTGTGGTAAGCCAGTTTGTTTTAAAATGCAGTTTTAGTTTTTAAAACGTAACTCTGTGAGTTCAATATAGTATTTTTTTCCTGGTTTGAGTTGTGGTCTGTGTCAGCCTTCTGCTAACAATTATGATCTAGACTCAGGTGTCCCAGTGTAAACACCAAGGAACAGGTCCAGAGTGGAGAAATTATGATACAAGTTCTATGAAGATTTGTCTTCACTGTCCTGGGTACTTACCATAAGGCTTTTTTCTATATAAGTCCAGTCTAGAAAACTACTCAGGGGTACATCCTGGGGTATCCAGGGCATGACCCAGGAGCACCTCCCCTGTCCCAAATCCTTGGAGGCTGGACTGACACTTGCTGAAAATGCATCTCCCCATCTCCTGGAGAGTTGAGGACCAGGCCTTATAATTTGACAGCAGCAATAGTAGGTTTGAGGAGCATCCATCTAACGCATGGGAGATTATCAGAGTAGTGGCCTCATGAATATTCACATGGAGAGCATTAAATTCCTGCTGGATACAGAACTCTATACAACGAACAAGAAAGGATTTCCTCAAGGTCAGAGCCAGGGACTGCAGGATGCACTTTGTTCAAGGTGGGTGCTCTATACATTTGAAGTCTTCCAGGAAGCCCCTCTTTCTCTGATCACAACTCCATTCCTGTATAATGCTGAGATGCCACAAATTGTAGAAAGAGGACTTCATGGAATCTAGGTGAGAGTTTGCTTCCTAATTCAGCTCCTTTCTAAGCTTCTTGAATCAGACTCTCCTGAACCGGGTCCACGAATCTGAATAATTTGAAAGTTCTGTAAGGATTCTGAGCACTAAGCAGACTTAGAAAGCACTATGATGGGTTTCCTGAGTCTCTCAGTGAGAATGAATCACCCTGATGTTGACATGTGTCCCTTTTCCCAGGGCTGGTCTTTGTGGTCAGTCCAGGTTGGGGTTTCAGAGAGAAGAACCATAGTGGATGGGGAGTTAGCATCCATAATCACAGCTGTGTCTAGTATGAGGCTTGAGAACTCCATAAATACCTGTGGAGAAGACTCAGCTGTTAAGGGCACATATTGCACTTGCAGAAGACCTGAATTCAGTTCCCAGCACCCACATCAGGTGGCTCACAACCACATGTAACTCTAGTTCCAGGGGATCCAGTGCCCTCTGGCCTCCACAGGCACCTGCACACATGTGGTACACATAAACTCATGCAGACACACACACACACACACACACACACACACACACACACATGAAAATAATGAATTTTAAAACAAATAAATAAAATAAAGATCTCTCAAATTGCCCCAGAAGCCCAGTGACCAATAGTGGACAGTAGACTATATGTAAGTTGGTGATTAAGAACTGTAAACTAGGCTTAAGGAAGAAAAGAAGTGGTTGTATTAAGTGCCTGGATATTTATTCTACCCATCTCTGATGTGATGGCCATACATTTCTGGAAATGAGTGGGAATTTTGAAAATGTTTCGAGTTTGCCTACAGAGCTTACTTGTTTATGTATAATATCAAGCATTCAAATAGCTTAATGGATGTTTATAGGCATGTATATTGCTGATAGAATTCAGAT